ATTGTATCTCAGACTGCCTTTGGTGGTTAATTAAAATCCACATCATGGGTGCCTCAGCTCTTTCAACAAAGTGCATTAAACTGTATTGTAGCTCTAAAACAACATTTTACTGACTTGCTCTTTTGTTTTTGTGAGCTTGGATGTCAGCTGTGTGGCGGGGCGGGCAGGTTAGTTCCTGCTCTGATGATGTCCATATAAAGTGAATTCACACCTGTTGCCCACCCATCACAGCATATGAAGTCCAAATCCACCCAAGAGAAGCAAACACTTACTGAAGTGCCCCATGTTGTGTCTCTGCACACAGCTAAAGTAATGTCTGTTTGTGCCACAGCTGTGGCTTTATTTGTGAAGTGCCAACTTGGCACCACTCACTGAAGAAATCCCAACTCCTCCTCATCAGCAGCTACACCAGAGACTGTCTGGATGTATGCTGCGCTGCCAGGCTGCCGGGCATACATTATCAAGGCTGGTCCATCTTATTATTCTAAGACAAAAGGAAATCTTTTGGCCACTAAGCATTTATGATAACATGCTTAAGGGCACAATGAAAGAGATTCTAAGTTGGCATCCAACAAACTATTTAGACCAACACGATGAGCCTCCATTTATTTCAGTTGCAAAATATTTTTAAGAAGTGAAACTTTTGTTAAAGCTGGATTTTTTTTTTTTTGCCACTTGGGGGTTGTAGATAGACTCATGTAAACACATTTATTAATTGTTATGGTACTCAATGTTAGCAAACCGTTGCCTATTTACACACCCAACCGACAAAGAAAAACATTAGCATTCATTTGGAGTTTGTGTTTTTGGCTACCTGACAAATATAAGTCCAATATTCATCTTGTTTTGTTGGCCACTCAGTCCTGAGGGACATATCCTGCCCTTTAGCTGCTAAAGGCTCCATTATGCCTGTCTAAAAGCGATATTGATGAGAGCAGCGTTTGTGGGCTGGAAAACCAAAACGGTGAGCTGAAAGATGCTAAAACGCTCCATAGATCTGAGGGTTACAATTACAGTTAATTCTCCATGGGGTTGTTACTAAGAGTGACGCGTTTCACATTACCCTTAGTTATCTGATTCATTATTAATGTACAATATTGATTGGAACAGCTTTAAATATTGTTTATTTTCACATGTAGTAGTCTGGCAGCCAAGCTAACATGATCAGTGAAGTAGATAAATAGGCCTAATTTAAATGAAGCACATGTCTTTGTGATTTGTTTTGTAACTTGGAATACAAGTCTCTGATCTAATTTTCTATGTGTGCTCTCCGAGGCTCTCTATCTCCTGGGCACCCATTTACTTCAGGAGACACAAATTCACACCTGCCCTCCACACCTTCCCAGAGCTATTTTTGTCCACTTTGTAGCTCTTGCAAGACTAAGAATAGAAAGTGATGAATGAAACTTGTGTATACAATACTAAATGTGCCATGTCTTTGTTGTTCACAAGTGTAATTGGAATTACATCTTCCTGTGTTTTAGTTGCCCCAAAACACTAATTCAACCACTTAATAAGCTTCAACATGAAAGTGATTTTTCCTAATTGTACAAGCTGCTATTCTGAAATGATTTTCTGCTTGCCCTTTAAAGGAGCATTTGAGGCCAGTTTGAGGGTGAATAATAACATAGAAAGACATACGTAGCTGTACGGCTATAATTGAACAAGAATCCTGAAGCTCTTGGCCAGTAAATGAATCAAAACCCAGTTACACTTGTCCTGTGTTATCGCCAACACGTTTTTATTGTGCGTCAATGTCTCTCATCCTGTTTGCACTGCTCACAATTGTTTGAACAACAATAACAACAAACAATTTTCATGCTGTGTTTAGGAAACTAATTACGGAACCTCGGGTTGTTCCGGTAAAAGGCAGGGACAACTTTAGCTATTCATAGCCTTCCTCTTCTGAGCTCACAGCAATGAACTGGCAGTCCCTAGGGGAAGGCTGTGCAATCTGAGATAGGTCTAATGCTTCCCACCACCGCACCAGGACCATATAGCAAAGACGAGGAGAAGTGACTTTTTCTTCAAGGTCAAAGCAATTGGTTTTCACTGAGACAGATAAAGTATGTGAGCCTCCCAAAGATATTCTCTCATGGCGTACAGTATGTAGTGCATTGAGGAGATTTGGAACTGCAGTCTGCATAGCTGATCCTTCATTTGTCACAGTTAAGATTAGCTGGAGACCTCATGTGGGCATTTTAAAAGGCCCATTGGCACCTTTTAAAACTATATTAGCCAAGATTATGTTCAATTCTACAGACTAAAATATCTTCTTCTGACCAGTAGTGAATCTCTGACCTTATATGCCTGATTGTAAGTACAATGTAAATCAAGAAAATAAAAACTGAAAACCAGAAAGAATTGTTAACTAACTAAAGATTAAACTAAAAAAAATCTAGAACAATGTGAAATGTCCCTTCTCTCTGTTGTTCTGTTTGGAAATGATACATTTATGTAACGGCAGGACCATCATATGACAGGAGGGGAAGTGTGTGTTTAATTATAAGGATATTTTAACTTCCTTTATGGTACACAGTAGTTGATAATACATTTTATGACTTGCAGAATATCTGTTATTTATTTGGACTTGCAAATCTATGCAAAGTTTTTGCCCTCACATAAAGACTCTCCACTCTAGTACTCACTTCTTACATCTTGTCTTAAAGCTTCACATGTATTTGGTGTAAGTCATTGATACTACAAAGCCTTGAAGCTGGAGCTACTTTGCATGCTACCTGCTCAGCCCACTACCACTTGGATCCGACAAATCCATGACTCACACATCCCACTTACCTTTATTTACATAAGCCTTTCTTGCCACTTAAATCTTGAGTCGGTAGAATAAAAACTGTGTATTTTGATTTGCGTGTGTGTTTGAGCTTGTGTCAAAATTCAAAGATTAAGATGTTATTAAAGACAAAAGCAAAGAGGATACAATGCCTACAGAGTTTTATACCCCACTTTTTATTTTTGATGATCTGAAAAGAGTCAGTGGACTTTTTACTCTATGATGCATACAGTATTTGTCCTCCAAAAGCCAGTTTTTGTTTAGAAACACTTACAGCTGCTAGGGAATACTTAGCACTTGCATTCAAAGATCCTTCTTGTGGAAATATGGAAACATGACTACTGCAAATATAATTCATTACCTAAAATCGTGTGTACGATTAGCATTAGTAATGCTCCATCTTTTTAAACATGGACCATCTTTGGACAGAGAGTGCCAGTAGATTATTTGAAATAAATGGGTTTTTAGTGGGATCATGCTGAAGAATTAGCAAGTGTCCACCTTTTTCAGTTTTGTAAAAGACTGATTGAACCTTAAATGCAACAATTTAATCGATTCACTGACATTGTGTGGCTGAGATTTTGTTTCCTGTTTGGTAGCTTTGCCAGATACCTGAAAGAGTTGAAAGAGATGTTACTTATAGCTCCATATCACAAATTTGCCACATTGTGTACAACATACAACACCCTCTATCCTTAGATCATTAATACAGATAAGCAAAACTCCACAATTAAATGGTACAGTACACATAGTACCAGTAATTGTGATCTCATAAAGAGGTTTGTACAGACCTTTCCAGAATTTTGCAGGGTGTAATGGGATATAACACGATGTAATGAATTACTGCTCCCTGCAGAACAACCTGTTAATTTTTTAATTGGCTACTACAAATATGAAAAAAATATAATAAGAGTTTAGTTTGAAGCACTTTTTAGAAAACAACATGAGAAGCACTTTGCTCTGAGGCATGAAGTGGTGAATTTTAGACGGTCTTTTATGTCTGAGCCCTTTGGTTGGTCCTAATGACAATAACTTTCATCAACTGTGATAATGGTTCAATTGTCACCTCTGCTAAACCAGAAATGTATCAATTAGTTTATCTATTCTCCAAGTCACAATAAATACTCTTTTATAGTGTTTTTCATTATACACTTTAACAACACAACTTTATATATTGTATAAACAATATTATAACATTTTCACTCACAACAAGGAAAGTTTGGTGAAAGAAGATCTCGACTCAGTTAAAAAGTTATGTGTTAAGGAGTTCTTATAACACAATACCCTAAGTTTAAGTATACAAATTCTACTGTCTATCTGGAGAGAAAAAGCAGATTCTTTGTATCCCTAGTTGTTCTATCTAACAGTGGGGTCAAATCTTCTCGATTAGCATGGCCGGTCGCTTTTTGTCAATTACCTTTAACTACATAATGATACTTTGCAGCATCTTACGTATGTGTAGTGAGGTGCCTGTAAGTGCAAGGACATGTGGACTGAAAGAAACTTCACCTCAAGAGAATTGATTCTCTGATGGTGACCGATAAGCACTGTCGCTAGTCTCATTGCTGTGTCTGTAGATAAAGCTCTGGTGCGCCTATCCCTAAATTCTACGTGTGTTAGACGTTTCAGAAGCAAGCAGTGTGACTTCTGTGTTCATTCAGTAAGTTCCCCAATCATAAACAGATGAATGCAGAGCAGCAACAGCGGATTTAGAATAACATTTCTTTCATTTTTCGAAGCTTGGAGAAGTCTAAGGACAGTTGTTGGATTAGCTTTTGGTACATTTAAGCCATGTTTTGCTTTTGTATTTGACAGATTGGACTTTGTTTATTGGCGTTGTTGGAAGCTGGAATACTAGTAGTTCTCAAGGCGTTTCTGCCCATCCAACGCTGTGTGATCTGAAGCCAAACACAATCACTCCCACCTTGTTTCCATGTCTGCTGCTGAGTAGCAATAATATGGCTCCAAGAGCAAATGTTTAATTATTTTAATTCAGAGGCAAGAATAGAATATGAAGAGGGGCATTCACACTTTGTTTTGGAGGAAATAAGCAATGAGCATGTGTTTGTGTGTATGAGATAATGATATCCAATTAGTCTTTTTCTTTCTCTTGAGCAGTTGTTAGATTTTTTTCCCTCAGAAACACATTCTGAGAAGAGAACAGTTAACATATGCTGATCATCTGTGTTTTTTGTGTGTTTTTTTGCAGAATGCCAAGCCCTTCTCCTCCTCAGACAGCCTAGGGAAGGTTCAGGAGGTAGCAAGCTGGCTTTTGGAAATGAACCAGGATCTGCTGTCGGGGGGCAGCAGCAGCAGGCGGAGTCGAGGGCCGGGGGGTCCGGCAGTGCGAGGTAACGCCTCCTCCACGGCCCGGGCACCCCAGCAGGCGGCAGAGGAGGGTGATGAGGATGAGCACATGAACCGGGTAGTAGAGGAGGAAGACCAGCTGCAGCAAAGGGTAAGGCCAATCAACAAATGATATTATGGTCACATGGATGGATTTAATGTGTAAACTTCTTTTGAACTGGCAATCTGTAAGCTGAGGTCTGAAGATGTATACATCAAAACAGGTTACATAATGCACTGTGGTAACCAAGTAAGAACTTTAAGCCAATTTTTCATCCATCCTTTCCTCTGAGGCATAGTTTTTCTTTGTGTGGCTCTTCTCAGCCTGAGGCATCGCAGGTTGATGGCGAGAGAGAACCACCATGGGCGCCAAGTGAATCAGGAGCCAGCAACGGCCCTCAGGGAGACGAGGAAGGGGAGGAAGACGAAGAGGGCCCTCCAAACGAAGTGAACGGAGGAGAGAAAGGAGCTCGATGGATGTGGGGGCCAGAGCAGAGGCGGCTGCGAGGCCAGCCGCTGGGCGAGGAGGAGGAGGAGGAGGAAGAAGAGGAGGAGAACAACAACAGCAGCAGTCACCAAGAGGAGGAGGAGGCGGAGGAGAGGACAGAGGGAGGGGAGGAGCAGGGAAGGGAGGAAGAGGAGAGGGAAGAGGGCGAGGAGGAAGAGGAGGAGGACGAGGACGAGGAGGAGATGGACCAAGACAGCGATGACTTTGAACATTCGGCGGAGAGTGGGAGGGAGGAGGAAGAGGAGGAGGAAGGAGAAGGGGAGGAAGGGCTGCGGTCTCCCTCTCTCAGGAACAATGTGTCTGCCCCCAATAACAACCTGGACTCCGGTTGTACACACCAAAGCTCTTCCAACAAGAAGGTAAGCACAGCTGTTGTTTGTTGAACACTTTTGAATGGAACTACTGTACTTTCCTAGTTAAGAAATAGTCCCTGTGTAAACACAGTGAGTTCTGGGAAACCTCCAGAGGTAACAGGGACACTGTTTCTGCAGGATCATTCTCTGGTTAATGTTGTTTCAATGCAATGGGCACTACAGTCATTTCCATTCCCTTCCATTGTATTAGGGTGAAGGAGACAAATGCCTCAAAACTAATAACTAACATAAAGCATGTGCATGGTTGGAGGCCTCTATATGTAAGTGAGAAAATATGTAGTTTTTTGGTGAACTGATTCTTTAGGATACTTCTGCAACAGGCACAGCAGTTGTATAACTTTCTCACAGGTAGTGTTTAGTTATTATCATATCACTGCTTAGAAAACACTATTTACTGCACTCTCATGTTTAAAACAGCAGCTCCCTCTTTTGGCACAATTGTGTTACTGCATGCAGTGGACCCTCTTTAAGAGGCAGTGGTCAAGATAGGATATTGAAACTACATTATATGTGTGAATAAGAACATACAGGCAATTGATTAATTGGGATTAAAAACCTGAATTAGTGAGTGGATCAGCAGAGACAGCACTGCGACTGGGAATTAAACACAGGCCTGGACTGAGGAGCATTTAAGACCAGAGAAAGGGTGAAAGACTTCTTCTTCCCAACCTATCCACTCCTAATTTATCTATTAAAATTCCCAACTGATCCTGTCACTTTCTTTCCCAATCTTGTGTCATTCCTAAGAATGAATTTTCACTATTACAGAACTTCCAAATTCCTGGTTAAGTCTTAGTATAGGAGCGAATGTTTGTTGGGAGTGGTCTCTTCCAGGGTGACTGTGCCCCTATCCACAGCTCTTGAGGGTTGCAGCTTTCTTTGCTTCTTGTTTTAACAGTTGAATGACATGTCAGGACCGTTTTGTTATGGAGTTTAATGACCGCACATTATTATAGCTTAATAGCCTCCTTGTAAATTCTTAATTTATTTGTAGAATGTACAGAACCCTGTTTTAGGAAATGTTAACATTTCAAACACGCTCAGGCCTCACCTATTGACATCGCTGACATGATGAGTCACCATTGTGGCTGGTGACGAGCAGCGCTTGATGTTCAAAAGACACGTGAGAGCGATTGTCACATCTTTCCTCAGTAACTAAATTAATGTGCCTGGTTCAAAAGGCTCTGATGCAGCACAGCAGCAGTGTTTGGATGTTGATGCTGGTGTCTCATTTCAGTGATGACTGATGGCGTGACTGTTTGTTGAGTGTGTTTCGTTGGCCTTCAGAACACCTGTATTTAAAAGGAGGAAGTAGACTTGGCCAAGGCATTTTCTAGGAGCTAGGGATGATATTCATAATTTGCTGTGCTTGTTATGCACAGACATAAATTTTGACGAGAGAAAACCAATAAATCAAAGGGGTAGTCCTAAATATTGTCTTATTATGGATGTGTATCTGTTTATATTTAGGCCAGAAAATTCCTTTGTTTATAATAGCCCAGCAGGCTAGCATGAGTTGTTGAAGTATCAGGATCATGTCTACAGATGGAGGTGTGAGTGCACTTACATTTGTGTTATGTATAAGAATCAAAATCTGTACCAGCATCAACCCCCCTTACTCCAGCATTTGACCATTTGTATTTTGTATAATTTAGCAATACGCAAGTGAACAATGTTATGTTTATACCATTAGATTTTATTGTATATTCTCCTTCATGCACCAGAGACTACATAGAGGACAGCAGAGATAATACGCCCATCTCCGCAGACAGTAATGACTAAAGCTTTGACAGGTTTGTCATCAGCAGTGTAGTCTCATGACCAGTGTGCTGCTCTCTCCACACCCTTCTAACAAAAAGAAAGCTGCGCAGCAATTAAGTTCAACTATTGTTGTTGAAGAGTATTTGTCTCTTTTAACTTGCAGTTATGTTATTCATGTACAACTGGAGACTTGAGTCTCAGTATAGATTAATGTTATGTGTGCCTGAGCCTTTGATGGAGATATTTCCCTTGCTCTTGTTGGCCTAAATATAGCAAATAGCCTGAGTTTGCTCCTGTGTGCCTCTCACCATCTAACACAGCTGTCAGATAGGTTTGTCAGGGTCTTAGTTGCTAGTGTGCCAGCTGGCTTTGATGTTGAATGTACACATTTTGTTCAGCTGTGGGTCTTGTATGCTTGGAATTAGGAGTGGTGTAGAAAGAGTAGATTCTATCTGACAGCTCAAGTGAGAAGTGTAAAACGTACGTTAATGAAACCCCTGTAACATTTGACTGTTTAAAATGACGTGTTTACACTAACCCTGTTTTAAGTGTAATGTGTCAGGGTAGATGGTGGCTTTTAAATTAGAGTGATGGTGGAAAATTCTCTTCCATTGCACTTAAATTCTGCCTTTCTAGCCACTTAATTCTACATTAACTGGATATTGTGAGACACACATAAAGACTGTATCTTAAGAAACATACATACATGTAATTTTACTATTAGATTTGTCCTCTGATTCCAGTAAGAGAGAGATTGTCGGATCTTTCCTCAGTAACTAAATTAATGTGCCTGGTTCAAAAGGCTCTGATGCAGCACAGCAGCAGTGTTTGGATGTTGATGTTGGTGTCTCATTTCAGTGATGACTGATGGCGTGACTGTTTGTTGAGTCCGTTTCGTTGGCCTTCAGAACACCTGTATTTAAAAGGAGGAAGAAGACGTTTTCTAGAAGCTAGGGATGGTTGTCATAATTAGCTGTGTGTGTCATGCACCACTTAGATTTTTTTTTTTTTTTAGAGAAAAACAATAAATCAAAGAGGTAACCCTAAATATTGTCTTATGGATATGTTACATCTATTTATATTTAGGCCAAAATATTTGTTTGTTTATAATGGCCTGTTGAAGTAAGTATCAACCTATTTGTACAAATTACTTTTGAGGCTACTTCTACAGTACTTAATAGAAAATATGCCACAATCACAACCCAATATACTTAGTTTGCAATAATGTGCAACAGAGAAAAACAGAAAATCCTCACAAATGATAAACTGGAACCATGACTACTTGTTGCAGGTCTAAAGAAAGCTGAATAGCCTTTGTTGGATGATCATAGACGCCTTGAAGAACAGATTAACTTTAAAGTCCACAATACAATACAATATAGTGAGTGCGCTGACTTTATGTAGCATCCACAATTACTGATATAAACCTTGGTCATATAAAAACTGAATAGCTCTCATTGAAAATCAGTATGTTAATATAAATTACAAAAGCAGTCATTTGTGCTGCTGTGTGTAATTTTACTTGTTACTTAGATTTGTTACTCAGGGTGACCAGTGGGCCGTGAATCTTGTGTCCTTAATCATTGTCCATTGATCAATACGCTGCTCTTGCAGATCAAAGCATGAATATTCAAAAACATCCAACAGTCCTAGCAGCTGATGATGAGGCGATCAAGTAAACAAATTATTTGGCCTGTTATTATACTTGAATTTGAAACTGTCACCGTCACAGCCTTGAAAATTCAAGTCATCTATGGTCTATCTGTTCACTTAAACCTTAAGTAATTAAATAAGTAAGAAAAACTTGATGTAAATGTATTTGTACTTTTCAAGACCAGGGTTAAAAAGTGCTGAACATTAGTAGTCGTCCTATATAGATTACTCTCCGGTAGATAGCGTAGCAAACTATGATATGTGCATTTTGACAGCTGCAGTGTGCATGTGTCAAACAAGGGGCAACTGGGTTGTAGTAGAGGATCAGTACCCATGTTTGGACCAAGAATGTGTCGGCCTGTGTGGGCTTATGTGATATGGCCTTGCATTAAATACAAGGCAGAAGTTCACAAACACAGACTTACATGTGTAAACCATTAAAGTAGAAACAGCACTGTAGAAATGTATAGTGTGAATGATGATGATCAGCTTTCTGTGCATGTCTTAGCCTGTCCCTAGTAAGGACAGATTGTGTTCTCAGGCTGCAGGTGCTCTGGGCTCAGGTCACCAGAAGTAGACGCTTCATCTCCTCTTCTTACTTGACACTCTTGTCTTTTGACCCCATGCCAACGGGCTGACGCTCGAGGCCATTCTCATCATTTAACCTTTTAAATTCTTAAATAGCTTCATTAATCAATATTTAAGCCGTGTATCCCTGCAGGCTTAAGGTGCAAGCATATTTCTGAGTTCAGTCAAAACTTTCATTCAGATTTTGAGCAGATACCTTTCTGTTCAGCGGTACTAAAATGGTCATGCAACACATGGCATTTGTGTGATGAAGGCATTGACAGTATATATAAAATGTTGAAGGACAGGATATATGGTGTTGGGTTAACATGAGGCTTGTAGCGGCTGCGCTGAAGCAGGTGTTGATATCTAAATACTGCGCCTTATACATTAGTCCCTGGGAAGGCACGTTATGTGACATTAGCGGGTGGAAAAAATGTTACAGGCTGTTTAAGGTTATTACATGTTTGAGAAACTGGAGTAAGTGTTTAATTAAAATTGTTAATAAGCCCACCCCTAAAGAAAACCAGTTCCACTTCTTAAATGGTTTGAGATTTAAAAAAAAAAAAGAAACAATGATTCTACTGTTTTTAATTTGAAGTATTTATAACACCACATACTGTTATTCAATGTTCAGTGAGGAAATTGTTGTGTAGTACAGAATCTTAAGTTTGAAGTGAGCAAACATACAGGCCTTTAAAACAGGAGCTCTGTGAGAGCCCCCAGGAACAGTGCCCACTACACTACTGTAACTACTTGGATTTGAAACCCTTATTACTGCTCAGCTTCACACATAAAACAGCAAGCAAGCTTGAAACTAACTTTGAAGCTGCTTTTTCTTTTGTTGGACTGTAGAAAAATTAGGAATTTGATGATTGTATTCCAATATAATATTTGTATAACTCATAAATACATGCATGACATGCAGTTATGGTTTCCAAACCATACCCAAATCTTCAAGTCTTAAAATCTAATTAACTTATATTTAACTGTCATAGTTTTAT